TGGCTGACATTCACTCCTATGCCTTGTTCTGCCAGAGGCGGCACTGGATTGGTATAATCGCAGTCCGCTTTAGTAGTTTCCGCAATATATTTTGATGTTGACGGTACTGAATCCACCTTAGAAGGATCATGTCTATAAAAAGAATTTCCTCACTAATGATAAGCATAAAGCTCACCCTTTTCTTCTGTGTAGTTTATTAGAAATTCGCTTTCTAAGTGATTGATGAGACTTGTCTTCACCGACGCTAGAAATAAAGTAACGAAGTTTAGTAAATAAATTTACGTTTTTGATGCTTCTTTCTTTTTGCCAAGTCTTCGAAGTTTCCGCATACTTACTCGTAAAGCGTTGTCAGATTAAGGTAGCCAGTAAGAGCAGGGGATGTAGGCACTATTATATGATAATGCGTTGTGTGCCAGAAACCCGCAACCAATCATTCAATCACTCGTGAATGCTTTCAGAATTGCAGACATTGATTTGAGTCTTTCGGTTACGAGTGGTTAAAGTTTTCGACATTCCATCGGGTAGAGCGAATGAATACCGTGTGTCAGCAGAAGCCACACGTTTCCAAAGTCGCTGCTCGACTCTGATCCTCTTCCTTCTTTTCACCTTTTATAAAACCCGAATTTCAACATTTCCACGATGTCCGATATCCTCCTCCAAAAATTACTCTTTATTCGTAAATAAAAAGGTGAAGGCTAAAGTGGAAAAATGAGCAATTATTACACTACCTCTTCATTTGTGCATCATAGTTAGTGAAAATGACTAGCAATGCAATTTAAGCGGAAGGAGATTTTAATGCCATCCAGAGATGTTAATCACAAAATTCAATTATTAATTCGTAATCTTATGCATTACTGCATTTTAACATCTCCCAGGAAAAATTAAGTGACTTGACTTACCCCTTTTAATGTGGTCTAGTCATAACCAAGAGTCCATGTAGGCTTCCTTGAATGGGGTGGAGTGGGGGGCAGGGGGAGGGGGAAAAATTAAAACAGTTGTATACAGCCATGGTAAAAATAGTTTTGCCCTCTTCAAAACAAAGAAGATGGTGCACTTCTATTTCTGCCCTCAGCATTCCTCATCCTGTTTCTCTTTTTACGAAATAAAAACACTGTAGAAAGACTAAATTGAAGACGAAATTATCAGTAGTTTCTTTATTAAACCCAAATTTAATAGAAAGATGTGATGAAAAAATCCCGAATGAAAAAATTTCTTATATTTTTTTGTTTTGTTCATGGTGTTGCTGTTTTTTTTAGAAATAAGAGTAAAATTTTTAAAAAATTGGGTCATCATCGGCATTATCATTGCCCCCGATGCCAATACAATCACTACCTTCTTGGGATTTTGAATTGTCTGAAGACAATGTGGAGGAAGAGGCGAAACCAGGATTTGGCACCACTGGATACTTCCTGCTTGTGAGTGTTAGTTGGTGAAGTTGATTTAGTGTGCGCGGTGAGATTGACTGAAGGAGATTAGGCAAGGGAGGCTGTGCTTCATTCTTGAACGTAGTGTTTACTTTGATTAAAAAAAAAACCACCGGAGAGCTTTCTCCAACTACTTTGGTACTTGGAGTTCCTCCAGGATGCCCGATAAGAGTGAACGAAGGAGGCTCCTTTACACACTCCCTGGTGGAACCTACTTCAGGGCTTAATTTTGTCTGGAAGGCTTGATAAACCTTTTAAGCTATCATAAATTTCAACGGTTATCCTCTGTGGTGGCGGCTAGAACTCCTTCAGGGGATCTGACAGTATCAAATAAAACAGAATGCGTTACATTCGCTCGTGCAAAGCTTGTTTTAGAGACGGATTGTAATACCACGTTAGCATTAAGCCTCTCTTTCAGCCAGGAGCTTGAGGGTGGATCATTTTTTCACCATACCTGTATTTCCTCCAGGCGGCAGTGAATTGGTAAAATCAAACTCCACCTCAGGAGGTTCATCCCATTACCCCAACTGGTGTTGGTGATACTGAGTTAGGCAAATCATACGGTGGATTTCCTACTGGACCAAATTTGACCGATTTTTCTCTCTAAAGAACATGTCCTCCTAAAGGAATAAATAAATTTGCTGTTTTTTTTTGGTGTGGTCGATTATAATTTCTCTTTCCAGGTAATCAAGGCGATTTAACTTATCTAACAATACGATTTAGTATAAAGGGGTTCAGTGATTAATTTTATTACTTTGATGCGTGCTACTTGTTGCCTCCGCATATTTTCCCACAGAGAATTATCAAGACAGAATTCTCATTTAAGGTAGGATAGGTGTGCACTGTTAAATAAGAGGGCTTTGGTGTGTCATAACCACTCCACCAAACACTCAACCTCTCGTAAATGCTCTACTGACGTTGTTTTGAGGCAATTAAGACTGCAGACTTTGGTTGAAGTGCCTCACTTACACCAAGTGGTTAAGTATTCTGCATTCCAGGGGGGTAGAGTGAATAAAATTGCCTCGCTCACCAGAAGCTACACCTTTCCGAATTTGGCGATAGGTCCTGATCCTCTTCTACTACTCCCCCTCCCTCCAATAAAACGACAACTTCAACAAATCCACAATGTTACATGCCTTCCTCTAAGGAGTCTTTTTAATCAAGGAATATGAAGGGGAAAGGGGAAAATGAGGAAAGATGACACCGACCCATTACTTATTCACTGCATTCAATGAATGTGACTGAAATTATGGCTTTATAGGGTTCGGACGGGGGAGGCGGGGGGTTAAAGGCGATTATAATGATATCTAGTTATGTCAATCATAATATTTGCACATTGTTGTGCAATATCATCCCTCACCTCCTTCTAGCATCTTCCTAAAACAATTAAAGGGGAGAACTCGTTCCTTTAATGTGCGCTAACCATAGCCACGAGGCCAAGTACACTAATGACCTGGGGAATTGAGGGGGGGGGAGGTGGGGGGATTAGTAAAACAAAGGCACATTCACTGATGATATAACATTTCCCCTCTCTAAGCTTAAAAGTTGATACCCTAAAAATACTGCCCTTCACAGCCCCCATAAATAAAGACAAGTATCGAAAATAAAAGAGAACTTGTCAAGTACAGGTATTCAAGTTAAGCTCTAATACATAATAGGGTGAATGAAGAGGTGTGAGGGAGAATGTTAGATGCAATTTTTTGTTTGATTATTTCTTTTTTCTACTTTTTGTGGACTTTTTTGGTGCAGATTCCGTGTCACTGTCTGAACTTGAATCACTGGATGATGTCTCCGAGCTATCCGAAGAACTTGACGAATCAGACGAAGAAGGGGAAGAGGAAGATGAGGAACTATCGGAGGATGAACTTGAGCTGGAGTCATCACTGTCACTGGCGTCATCATCAGAATTGCTTGAAGAAGACGACGAGGAAGAAGAGGAACTGTCCGATGATGGAGAAGAAGAAGATGATGATGAACCTCTACGCTTTTTTGACTTCTCCTTGACAGATTGTTTCTCCACACTGGGTTGATGCGATGATTTCGAGCCGCCTGTAGTAGGTGCCTTCACATCTTTGACAGTTGTTTTAGGAGGATTTGCTGTACTTGCCCTTTCAAAATACTGAAGCCTTTCCTTGAAGGGGAGGATCTCATCAATGATACCGTCATTTCCTGCTTGTGCTTTGGATACACCAGCCATGGGTTATCGTACCAGGTTATCCAGTAAGAGCAAGCGATGCATACACTATTATACGAGAAGGCGTAGGTGTGCCAGGACCATTCCACCAATCAAGCAAACTCTCGTCAATGCTCTACTGACGTTGGTTGAAGCCATCAGAACTGCAGGCACCGATGTGATTCTTTCAATTACAAGTGTTTGAAGTCTTTTACGCTTGATTTAATGTAGTGAACTATCTCGCGGCTTAACACAAGTAACACTTTCCGAAGTCGGAGATCAACTCTGATCCTCTTCCTCCCTACCTCCAAAAAAACCAGAATCCCAACATTACCGCAATACCAGATGTCCTAAACTAAGAATTCTTCTACATTTATGGATTGTAAGGCGGAGTTAGAGGATCACGAATGATGAAAGTGACTAGCAATGCGATTTGTTGGGGTAGGGGAGGGAAGGTGGTGACAGAAGCGAATTTTTATGACTTTTGGAAAAGGCGACTACACCACTTGATGATTAATGCATAATCCCATCAGGCACCTCCTTCCAAAATCTCCTAAGACAATTAAAGGAGAGAACTCATTCCATCACGGTGAGGTTTCCACAACCAAGAAACCATGTTGGCTTTGTAGGTGGAGGCGGTGGCGTATTGAAACAAAGCAACATTTACATATGAAAAACAGCTTTCCTTCCTCCTTTATCGCCTTTCGCAGTTCGTCTAATCCCCCTTCTTTTACTAAGAAGAATTGAATGCCAAGCAATAAAACAAAAATAGAAGCAATTTTCAAGAATCCATAAGTGTAAGTAACCTTATTAAGTCCAAATTTATAAAGAGGCTATTAAATGAAGAATCTTGGAAGTAATTTCTCTTTTTTTACAATTTTTTCTTCGCAGCCTCTTTTGTATTCTAGAAATGCATTTCAGAGGCGGCGGATTCACGCATGAAACTCGGCACAGTATCAGCATCATTGCCATCTTCAGCACTGCCACTTTAGATAACATCATCATTTCACTGTCACTGTCGTCATCACTCAAAGACCTCTTCGAGGAGGAGGAGGAGGAGGAGGAGGAGGAGGAGGAGGAGGAGGAGGAGGAGGAGGAGGAGGAGGAGGAGGAGGAGGAGG